TTGTAGGCTTTTTGATGATGGCCATTCTGACCGGTGCAAGGTGATACCTCACTGTGGTTTTGATTTGCATTTCTCTAATGATTAATAATGTTGAGCATCCTTGCATGGGTGGGAGGGAGACGCAAGAGGAAGGAGATATGGGGATATATGTATATGTATAGCTGATTCATTTTGTTATAAAGCAGAAACTAACACACCATTGTAAAGCAATTATACTCCAATAAAGATGTTAAACATTTTTTAAAAAATTTAAACTTTCAATTGAATAGTCAAACCATATTTTTGGAGGCAATATTCACAAAATATATATTTGGCAACGAATTTATATTTAGAACATATAAAGAATGAACTTCTTCTACAACATAATAATAAAAACAAAGACCACAATAAAAATAGTCAAACAGTTGTACATATAGTTCACTGAAGAATATATGAAAGGATAACAAGCACATGAAATAATTCTCAACGTCATTACTCATCAAGAATATGCAAATTCAAACCATAGCGAGTCACCCTTCAGAATGGCTGAAACTAAAATGACTGGCAATAATATCAAGTGTTCAAAGGGAACTGGCAGGAATGTAAAATGATACAACCATTTTGGAAATGTCAGACCATAGCTCATGGAAATAACCATACAATGACCCTGTGACCCAGGAGCCCACTCCTAAGTTTCCACCAAAGGATAGTGGCAGCACGTATTCACAAAAAGATGTGTTCAAGGATGTTCGTAGTAGCTTCATTCATAATAGCAAGACATTGGAAATAGATTTGGTGTCCATCAACAGGAGAATGGGTAAACAAATTAATATATTCCACCAAGGAATATAACTCAGCAACAAATAAGAATTAATCACTAATAAACACAACTACAGGAATAAATCTCAAAAACATTATCTCAAGTGAAAACAGCCAAACACAAAGAGTACGTGCTCTATGATGCTACTTACGTAAAGTTTTAGAACAATCTAAACTATTCTGTGGAGAAAATATATTGAACACTGTTACTGGGGGAAGGTGGGGGGAGGGGTGGATATTGACTGAATGGAAGAGTGAGGGTGCTGTGCTGGTGACAGTATTCTGTCTCTTGATAGAGGTTTGCATTACACAGGTACACACATTTGTCAAAATTTACCAAGTGTACACTCAAAATTTGTGCATTTAATGCAAAATAAAACTAGATGTACATAAATATTCAGCTCTACTTAGTGATATACATGCTGAGATGTTTAAGAATCAAGTATACTGATGTCAACTTACTTTGAAATACATAAAAATTTACAATAAATAGGCTAGAGAGATGGATATACATGTGATAAACCAAATTTAGAAAAATAATCTAGGCAGTGAGTGTTCACTGCATAATTCTTTCCATTTTTTTAAGTTTGAAAATTTTATAATAAAACATTAGGAATATAAGCAAAAATTACATTAACAAAATAAAGGAAAAATCATATAATCATGTCAATAGGTGCATAAAGATAAAACTGAATACTAGTTCATGTTTCAAACCCTTAGCAAACTAGGAATAGAAGGCACTTTATTAATTAAAGAGTACCTTACACACACACACACACACACACACACACACACACGCACACAACACAGCAGCTAACATCAAACTTAATGGTGAAATATTGAACACTTTCTCCCTGAGGTCAGGAACAGACAAGAATGTCTGCTCTTACCACTTCCATAAAAAATTGTTCTATGAGTCCTCTCCAGAACAATAAGACCAAGGTCAAATTTAAATAAAGAAATACATACATAAATGGAAAGTTGGAAAGTAGCAAAATTGTCATTGTTCACATATATGTTTATGTACATAAAAATCTAAGATAGTGTACAAAATATTAGGAGTAAATAAATTTGCAAAGCCACTTGCTACAAGGCTAATATATAAAATAAATTAATAATGTTTCCATATATAACCAACAAAGTATTGATAATTGGACAATAGAGTTTTTAAAATACCAATAAAATCAAAATATATGGCGTATGTGCAAAACCTATACATTTAAAATAACAAAAAATGCCGAGACACATTTAAAAAGACCAAACCAAGTGGAACAAGTTCAAGGATTGAAAAACTAAAAAAAAAAAAAGTTAAGCAGCTAATTTTCCCTAAGTTTCTCTATAGACTTAATGGGATTTCAATCAAAATAACCCAACAAGTTTTTGTAGAAATTGACCAACTGATTTATTAATTTATGTGGAAATGCAAAGTGTCTAGAAAACCAAGACCATCTTAAAGCAGTGAACAGAGTTGGAGGTCTTAAACTACTTGATTTGGAGATTCACCATACATCTACAATAGTTAACTGTGTCATGTTGGCATAAAGGTGGGAAAAAAGTCCAAAGGAACGTTGGAGAGAGTGTAGAAACAGAGCTGTCCATGATACTCCCTTATTATCCCATTAATCGTGTAGGCTCTGCAGTGATGTCACCTGTCTCCTCCCTGATCTTGGTAATCTGTGTCTGCTCCCTTTTTCTTCCAATTAGTCTTGGCCTTTGCTCTTTCCACCAGCGATCCCCATGGGCTGATGGTCTATGGACCTAGATATTGAACACTGAATTGACAAAAGTTAGCCATCTCTTTTCTGGGCACCCAAAGATTCCAGAGAGAAACTGGGGGTCTGTCTCAACTGGTAAGCACTTCTCAGTGGGCTAAGATGTGCTAATTTTCAGGTGTCTTTGAGGAGTTAAATAATCAGTTAGATACATGTCCAAGGACTCATTATAAAGATATGAGCTGGAGGTAGACACTTATGAGTCATCCATGAGGCTGGGGGCGTAAATGACAGAGGAGAAGACTGGGGCCACAGTGTACACCTACATCTTGTGGCTGAGCACGCTGCCCAGCCCCACAGCAGGCAGAGGGAGCCATGGTCTCAGGGGCAGTGAGAGGACCTGGTGAGCACCGCCTGCATCTGTGAGGCATACCTCTGAAAGCTGCAGCAGGCCACGGCTCACAGCGGCATGCCAGGACCAATGCCCACTTGCCATTAGGAACTCTTGGCTTGGACCCAGGGAGGGCCCAAGTCTCCCATGACCTGGAGCTTATACATTTTGGGACCCTTTTAAGAAAAAGCACCGGAAATTATGAATAGAATGTTAGAGACTGGCCTCAGCAGGGGCTGTGAAGGGGCCTGAGCGGGGGTCCTGGGCAGGGGTCCCAGAGCTTGCACCTGGTGAGCTTCACGGTAGCCCCACCTGCAGTCAGAGCAGGCGGCTCCCTGCCCCCTTGCACAGACACACCCATGCTCACAAACGCACTGAGGGACAGGAAGTCACACCCAGTCCCCTTCGGGGTCAGAGTGAGGGAGGGCTGAGCAGGCGTCTCTGTGCCGGGATAAGCAAAGTCACTCTCCAGCATTTGGGGATGTTGGCGCCCTTTGTGGAGCCCCGAGGAAAACACAGCGGAGGCTCTAGCATCTTTTGGGGAATCTGACCCATTGAGACCAACATGTCCACTCCCCTGCTTTGTTCTCCTATCGGGGTCCAATGCACATTGTGTAACTGACCCTCTGTTTTGGTAAAACTTCAATAGGAAGAGGAAAGCGTGACAGAAAGAAAGACACCCCCCTGGAGCTGTGGGAAGGGCCGACTTGTCCTCCTGAAGTTGGCAGCACTTCACCTGGGGTGGAAGGGAGGCCCCTGCAGTGCCCGGCTGGGCCCTAGCAGGTGTGCCTGAGGGCAGATGGGGAAGGGGCTTCAGCGGGCAGGAGGACGGAGGACCAGCCCCAGAAGGTCGCCGGGCAGTCGACCTCTGGGAGCCATGGCCCGCGTTAACACCCCGGTCACCTTCAGGCTCTGTGATGCTGACGCAGCTGGTTCCGGGCGATTGGGGGAGCAGATCCACACCCCAGTCTGGATGGATCTCCAAGTTAGGATGCAGGCTTATCCCACAGAGCAAAACCACCTGTCAGCTCTGTTCTGAGAGAAGTTTCCAGGGAGTCGAGGACGGCAAGGACCCTGAGCGCACGGAAAGAGAGCCTCCTTCCAGAGCCAGGAAGTGGTTCAGCCACAGAGGCTGCAAGGGCTGCGCGGACCCGGGCTTGCTGCCGCAGCCCCTGTGCAGTTACAGCAAGTGAGTGGCTGAGTTTCCAGGCAACGCTGTGGTCAAGACCCCAGCCTTCCAGAGCCAGGCTTTGCTCCCTCGGGCTAATGAAGCTTCACAAAGTTCCAGACTTTCTAAGCGACAGCCTCAAAGCAGTGGGCCTGTGACAATGGGGGCAAGGCGACACTGGGGATTTCAACCGCGTTTGAGGGCTGCCCTCGCCGCCCCGCACCCCAAGTGTGACAACGAAGGTGCCATAAACCACACTGCAGGCCTGGGGCAGAAAACTCGCTACAACTCAACAAGGTGCTGGGATCGAGGGGCCGCGAACCACAGGCCCATGACCACCACCTGGAGAACCCTGAAGACGTGCGGGTGCCCGGGCCCCTCCAGCCCCGGAATCTGGACCACTGAAAGCTTCCCGGGCGGGGCGCTTCGGGTTGTTTCCGTCTGATTAAACGCCCCTACTGGAAACTTCACCTCCCAGAGTGTGGCTGGAGAGATGGAGCAGCAGAGACGGCTGGTGGATTATTGCTAAGACGCCGCTTCACCTCCAGACTGGAGAGGAGAATGTCATTGCCGCCCGGCCCCCGGGAGAGCAGCTGCGAGCACACAGGCCTTACAGCCAGCGCTGCTCCCCGCCCGTGAGCACCCTCCCGGACGCACATATTGACCGGTGAGTGCTTTCGGTCCAAAGGGGAAAGAAGGGCCAGCAGGGGATGCTTTCCACCCTGCATACGGAGCGTGGGGTCAGGCAGAGACCTGGAAGTCAGGCCGGGGTGGGCCCGCCCCGCCCCGCCCCGCCCCGCCCACCCCGGCGAGGACAGCATGACCAGCGGGACTGCCGCCTGAGGACCCTCGTGGGTGCCCAAACCCCGCCCAGCCCTCTGGGGTGCCCAAGACCTGCTCCCCCCAGACCCTCTCCAGGCAGAGCAGCTCCGAGCCTGCCACCGGCAGCTTCACTCTCAGAGGCAGCGTCACCATCCCGGGCGGAATCTCCCCACAACCCTGAGCGCAGTGAAGGCGGCTCCCATGCCCTCAGTGGTCCGCTTCCCGGGGGACACAGCCCACGGCCCTGCCGCAGCCTGGGGACGCCACACCGCTCTCTTCGTCCAGACCCCGCTCCCTCAAGGAGGTCAGGCCCTCTGTCCTCACCCCACACACCTCGCCAGTCCCTGGAGAGTAAGGAACAGCTGCCCAAGGCCGGCCCATGACCACCCCAGCCCCTGCTCAGGGGCCACTCCAGGCCTGACCGCTCGCCACCTCCCATGCCGCTACGGCAAGCTTTCCTGGTCAGCGACAGTGCTGTCCCCGACCCTCCGGTCCATGCCACCCCCTGCTCCTGCCTCCACTAGGTGACTCTGGAAGTCAGGTGCGCTCAGGGGTGCACTGCAGGGACACCACAGAGACTATCTACCTCCTCGGCAGCAGCACGTGGGCAGCACGAACACGGGGTGACACGGCATGGGGCCACTTGTGTCTCAGCAGCCACGACTTCTTCTGATACAGAAAGCAATCTACCTAATTGCAGATTAGGTACAACTATAACTAGAAGTGAATGCTCACTTCTAGTTATGCACTGAGACGTGCACATGACGCACACCACACACACACACACACACATGCACACACACAGGCACGCAGAGGCTAGAAAGTCTGCCTGTTTGCTACAGTTTCCTGTTTACTGCAGTTCACATTTCTGCCTATTTGACGTTCTCTTAGTCTCAGTCATTTGTATGCAGTGCTTGAGGAAAACAGAATGCCCAGGATGTGAAGTGTCGCGGCCAAGAGCCTGCTTTGACAAAGCTTGTCATAGAGGCCCCGGAAGCATCTAGAGTTCAGAGGAGCCGTTGCTAATTAAGTCTGACAGTTTCCCCTTCCTGGGGAGTGCCCAGCGTGTCCCCGCAGAAACGCCGTGTGCAAAATCTCCATCCTCAGGGAGCTGCAGCACACGGTTTCCTTCTGCTCCTCAGAGATTCATAAAACCAACTGAAAACACCTTTGCAAATGGTAAAGAAAAAAGGCAAACAGCAAAGCAAAACGTCAGACAGAGTGGTTATGTCCCAAGGCACTTCCTTACAATTTTGCGAGGCTCAGTGTGAAAGGAGTGCTGCCCAGTGCCCCGGGAAGCTTGTTCATTGCACTCACACCTGGATTTCAGCAGACCTGGTGGATTACCTGCAGAGGTGAGCTCTGTCCTTTTACCTGCAGTTGTCAACAGGAGGATGTTCCTCTGATGTGTCCTGCTTTGCCCCTCAGTCTTTGTCAGATTTTAAGGGATTATGGTAAATGGATTAGAGGAGTCTTGGGTGCTACTGTGATTTTCCCCAGCTGTTCACACAGACCACGTTGCCCTCAGGGCAAAAGTCAGACACTGTTAGAGATGCCCAGTGGTTTTGTTTCGTTTTCCTGGACACCAATGAAAGTTAATTTTTAATATCTCTGACATCTGATACCAGGAAGAGAGAACAACATTTTTGTTTAATCTGACACTGTGAGAAAAAGTAAATTTCCACAGGGTATCACTAGAGACCTAATAAACTGAGGCATAAGTTTAAGTCAAGACTCAGACAAGTGGGAAAATCTGAAACAAATCTTAAAATCACATGCAGGAAAATCATGGCCAAGATTATTATTTTTACAGTAAGAAAGAGGAGAGGACTAAAAATTATAGATAATAATAAAAACTCCTAGAAACTACATACATACCCATTTCTTTTCTTCTACATAGCTTCATGAGTATTTAGATTTTCTATTTCTCCTTGAGTCAGTTTTGGTAATTTGTGCCTTGCAATAAATTTGTCCATTTCATCTAAGTTGTTGAATTTGTTGTCATAATTTTTCATAATGCTTCCTTATTATCAATTTAATCTGTGTAAGAGCTGTAGTGATGGCCCCTCTTTTGTTTCTGAAACTGGTAAATTTGTTTCCCTTTATTTTTTCTTGATCAATTTATCTAGCACTTTATCATTTTATTGACCTTTTCAAGGAACCAATTTTTATTTCCATCGACTTTCTCTGTTTTCTATATTATTATTTCCTCCCTTCTACTTACTTTTCAATTTCTTTTGCTTGATTCTTCAGATGGAAGCTTAGATCATTGATTTCAAATCTTTCTTTTTTCTAATGTAAGTATTTAACGTTAAAATTTCCCTCTAAGCACTGCTTTGCTGCAACCCATGAATTTTGATGTGTTGCCTTCTCATTATCACTCAATTCAAAATATTTTCTAATTTTCCTTGTGATTTTTTCATTGAAACTATGGTTTAAAATATGTCATTTAACTTTTAAGCATTTGAGGATTTCCCAGTGTCTACTTGTTGATTTCTAATTTATTTTGTGGTCAGAGGATATATATTGTATAATTTCAATCCATTTAAATGTACCAAAACCTGTTTCATAGCCCAGCATATAATCTACTTTGGTGAATCTTCATGTGGATGTGGGAAGAATGGATTTTACTGTTAGAAGGCGTCATGCTCTAAAGAGGTCGGTTAGACCTACTTCGTCACTAATTTGTTCCGGTCTTCTATATGCTTACTGATTCTCAGCTTACGATCCGTCAGTTACTGAGAGAATAGGGCTGAATCTTCTACTAATTGTATATTTGTCTATTCTCCTCTTGTTTCTGTAAGTTCATGTTTTATGTATTTTGAGACTCATATGTGAGGTATATACATATTTATGATTGTCGTGTCTTTTTACTGAAATGTCCCTTGTGGTCCCAATATGGCTCCTCCAGCTTGCTTATAAATGTATTTAAATAATATAATATTTTCTATCCTTTTAATTTTATGTTCAAAAATTGTTTCTTAAAGGCAGCATTATTTTATCCGGTCTGACAATATCCGCATTGTGTTTAGTTTGGTTAATTTATTAATTTAATTAGTTACTCATATAATTGGATTAAGTCCAACTTCTTGATATGAGTTTTATATTTTTCCCATCTGTTGTTTGTTGCTTCTTTTTTCTGTGATCTTATGGATTTGGTATCTTTTAATGTTCCATTTCATGTCTTCTGTTGAATTAGTGGTTACTCTTTATTTTATTTGTATAGTGTTTGCTCTATAGTTCCAATATGCTTTTATCATGGTTTACCTTTATAAAACATTGTATCACTGTACATATAAAAGATTATAACAATATACTTTCATCTCTCCCTTCCTGCCTTTTATTTTAATATTGGTATACAGATTATTTCCACATATGCTACATACTACACCATGCATTTTTATTATTTTTGCTTTAAAGTGCCAATAATTGTTTTAATAAATTGAAAAATGAAAAAAAAATCATTACTCATATATTTACTATCCCTCAATGGTCTTAATTCCTTCAGATGTGGGTTTCAATGTGTTATCGTTTTTCTCTACCTTGAGGAAATAATATAATGATTTTTTATTACCAATTCTGCTAGTAATAAAAGCTGGTCTTAGCTGTAATTGGCTTTATTTTGCCTCATTTCTATAAGGAGATTTTAACTAGATATAGAATTCTAGAATGATTTTTTTTTAATCAGCACTTCAAAGTTGGTGTTCCATTGTCTCCTGTCCTTCAGTGTTTCCAATGAGAAGTCAGCCATCATTTCTCTCTTTGTCACTTTGCGTGTAATATGTCCCCCTCTCTTGGGCTACTTTTAAGGAGTTTTTCCCTTTATAATTCATTGTCAGTAATTTGATTAAAATGTGCCTTGGTATGATTTTCTTTTTTTCTCTGAGTTTCTTTGAGTGCTGTAGGTTTATATTTTCCACCACGTTTGGAGAAATTTCAATCATTTAATCAAATGCTTTTCTGCCCTTCCTCTTTTTCTTATGTTTCCATTACACTTATGTTAGGCCTCTTGATATTAAGGCAAAAGTCAATGAAGAGCTCCTCTTTTCTCCAGCCATTTTTTTTTCTTTTATTGCTTCAGTTTGGACAATTTTTTTAGGCCAGTCTTCAAGTTCACTTTTCATTTTAGTTTCTAGTCTACTAGAAATCACTACCATCCAGTGATTTTTTTGATTTAAGATATTGTGTTTTTCAGCTCCAGAATATTAATGTGGATTTTTTCTTATGGTTTCTATTCCCCTATTTATTATGTGCAGTTTTCTTTAACTACTTGGAAATGTTTTAAAGAGCTGTTTTAAAATTCCTTTTTGCTATTTTCATCTTCTCTGTCATTTCTGGGTTTTTTTCTCCTAGGAACGAGTCAGATTACCCTGATTCTTTGCATGTCTAATCATTTTGATTGCATGCTGGGCATCATGATTACTACGTCTCTGAGTGGCTGGGCCTTGTTGTCTTCCTTTAGTGAGTGTTGAGGATTTTCCTCCCAAAAGGAAGTAAATTGTCCATGGATCAAGTTGGTCCTCTGAAGGCTGATTTCAGGCGAAGTTGGATACAGGTTAGCCTGTACCCTGAATCTAGTTTAGCCCTACTACTAAGGTGTACCTTTTCTGGGATCTTTATGGAAAGTCCCAAGCATTCAACCAGGTCTTTCTACTCTGTCTGGTCAGATCTTGAATTTGTGCCAGCCCTGTGTTACCACTGACAGTTCTCAAAGTTGTCCATTGGCCAGAAATGGCAAGAATGATGGAATTAGCAGACAAGCACTTTTAAAAAGTTCTTATGAATATGTCCAAGCACTCAGAGAAGAATGAACACAATGAGTCTGTTTCTTTTTGCTGTCTCTTTTTAAAATTTTCTCAGTCTTTGTTGTTTTGCAGTTTTATTAAGATGTATCTGAGAATGAATTCCCTCATGCTTGAATGTCGCTTGAGATTAACTGAGATTCTGAAATTTCTAGATCAGTGTTTCTAATCAATCCTGGGAAATCCCCACCCATTATCTCTCCACATGCTTCCTCTTAGCCCTTCTTGAGAAACTTTGATTAAACAAATCTGTTATTTCCTAAACATCCTGTTAAACTAATCTATTATTCTATAGTTTCCTTTTTTAATCTTTCTGGTTAGGGACTCTTTGGGGCCTATTTTACAATTCACTGGTTCTCTTTTCAGCTGTATTAACTTTCTATTAAACTCATCTGTTGAGGTTTTTTCCGTTTCTTAACATTTTGTTTCTGGAAGTTCTATTTAATTCATTTACAATTTAGCTGTGTCATTTTTTAAAATTTCCTGATCCCTGCAAATATTTCCAAGCTTGTTTTTAATTTGTTATTTTATAATCCATGTTCAATGTTTCCAATTTCTGAATTCTTTATGGGCATTTTCTATAAAGCTTTGTCGTACAGAGATGCGTGTTTCCAGATTAGTCAGAGTATAATGAGAGTGGGCTTGAGAAAGGACTTTTTTCTCTAGTTAGTTTGGAAGAATTTCAGGAAAAATGGGAGATTCATGCCTCTATTTTTATGGTCTAAAATGACAGTATCAGTAGTAATTAACATTTATACAGCACTTTTAAATGTATACTTTTATTTTAATTTCCACAAAAACTTCCTGTTATTTGCTTCACTGTCTCTTTCCTGGATAAAGAAACTGAGATTTGAATAAGATAATCTCTTGCTAGATTCCTACTAAGAGATAGCATACATTTTCTTGGTTCATCCACCATCATTGAAGCACATTAAAGCACTTGGAAAGTGACCAAGCCAGAACTCATCCTGGCTATTCTGACCACAAGCACCATGCTGGATGCTGTTTAGAAGACTGGACTAAGAGATGTGGGACAACTGAGAAATAGAGGCAATGAACAAGCCTGGGGAGCAGAAATGAAAATGAATCCGTGGGAAAACGTGAGCCTGAGAACGGTAACCTCAGATGTGAGTCCCGACAGCCAGAAGGGCCACAGAAGAGCTAGGTGTCAGCAAAGGCAGAGAGAGAGTCAGTGGTGTCCCTGAGGGCTGGTGTGACCAAATCTGGAACACAATGGGTTTCTGTTTCTTTACCGGCTTTAAGAGGTGGGCCTGAGATGCCCCCTACCCTTGACCTCACGTTACAGTACGTCGCAGGGTCTGAAGTAATATAAAATACATCTTAGAAAAGGGAAATAACCATTTTCTTATCTCAGTATTTCTTAGTGTTTGGAATTTGAGGAATTCCTATCTAAATGTTTTAGTGCCTACTTAAATGTTAAAGAAATGGAAACAGATTTTTTGGTGTGGTCATTTATAAGCTATATCCATTTGTAATTTATAGATACATATATACACATTTCTCTGAGAAATAACCCTCAAACTCTTTATCAAGCTATGGTCCCCCCACCGCTTGACAAATGTCACCCATTCTTCATGATTCGTTGTACATATCACCTTCTCAGCGGATGTGACCCCTACTGCCCTGAATAGAGCAGGAGAGGGGGCAGAGGGCAGGAGGGAGGGCTGCCCCTTCTAGCCCGCCTGACTGAGCCAACCCACCTGTCACCCAGTGGAGCTCTCTCTGGACACCCCAATGACCATCACTTCCCTGCTAGACTATTAGCAACTGGAGAGTGAGTTCACACTCCTTTTTAGATTCTCTGAGTGATTTCTACAGCCAGTTACCCAAAATCCTTGTGGAAAAGCAGACTATAGATGCAAACTAGCTCTCCCTGAGTGTGGAGTGTGCATCAGGCCCTGGGTTAGAAGCTATGCCTGTATTTCCTATTTAATCTTCACGCCATAAGAGGAAAGCATTTTTAGGCTGGAGATTGCTTGTAATGTTCTCAAGGTCAAGGAGAGTTCGGATTTTAGTCCTGGGGAGCGTGACTCCTAACACCAGATCCCTTACAGTCTATCATGTTGTTTTTAAAATAATGTGCTTCAATGATGGTGGATGAACCAAGAAAATGTATGCTACCTCTTAGCACATGATAGTAATGGTTCCTCACGCCAACCCAGGATGACGCTGACCTGTGTCGATCCAGCCACACCTTCTAGAGCAGCCCTCTCTTGGGAGACAAAGCTCTATATGTAACCATAGGAAAGCAAAGGCGGTTTGCCCCTCAGGGGCGGCACGTCCACCTGGCTGACAGTCCAAGTAGCTCCAGCAGCTTGTCTGGCTCCCAGGGGGTGGGGCGATGTGTACATCTCTTCCCGGCTTCTCAGTGGCATCATGTGGGCAGCTTGAAATCTGCTGGGTGGGAGTATTTACACCACAGCAATCAGCAAACCTTGCAAATCAGGGTTGTTCTCCCCAGAAACCCAGTTGCTGAATATTTACAAGCACACCATTGGAATAAACTAAGAAAAATGTGGTGGGCATTCAGGTGACCTTCTTCATGCATTGGACATAATAAAATAAAATATAAAGTAAAATAACCAGAGAGAAAGTATTTAACAACAGTTGATGGAAAAAGGAAAATAATAAAACCACTTGAAAGTAAAATTTAGCTCTAACGTTTTTAGCGGCAATAATATGCCCTCTTTGCTAAAGCACTTTTGAATGCTTTAACGTGGGGATTGATACTCCTGTCACAGGGCACACAAACCACCAAACTTGGACCCCTGGAACAGGGAGCACTGGGATGCCCAACATCGACAAAACAACATGAGTGGGTTTTTTGGGTTTTTTTTCTGGTACACGGGCCTCTCACTGCTGTGGCCTCTTCCGTTGTGGAGCACAGGCTCCAAACGCGCAGGCTCAGCGGCCACGGCTCACAGGCCCAGCCGCTCCGCGGCATGGGGGATCTTCCCGGACGGGGGCACGAACCCGTGTTCCCTGCATCGGCAGGTGGACTCTCAACCACTGCACCACCAGGGAAGCCCACCATGAGTGTTTTGAGCTGCCACTTTAAGAGAAACTCAGTCAATGAAATTCCTTGGCCCCCTAAATTTCTCTGGCTTACTGTTGGCTCCTGAAAGCAGAAGCCTCCTCCGGTTCAACCTCCGAGGCACTGGAGACCACTTGGGCAGGGGCTGGTGCTCTGGGGCTGGTGCCGAATGCTGTGCTTAGCACCTCAAGCATGAAATCAAGAAAATCTTTTAGCGCAGGTCCAGGACATTATTGGTCAACACTACAGAAGAATTCAAAGCTTCTCCATCTTTTCTAAGCACGCAGTCCATGCTTGGATGCCTCCGCTCCTATCTCTCCACGCCACACACAAGTCTCTTGCCCCATTACAAGGCTGGTGTGGAGCCTCATCTTGCCCAAGGGGGAGCCCCAAATGTTGCAAGAGAGATGATTACTCACCCCACGTGTGGCCACACGCTGGCCCCTTATTCCCAGCTACTCACCATCTCTCGGGAATCGGAGGTCTATTTGCCCTGAAGCCCTTTTTTTGTTTGTTTTTTACTGCCTGGGTCTCTGCACTAGCCCAGGGAGGGAGAACACATTCGGGTAGGATTAAGTCCTATTCTGTTTCCAAACTGGGAAAGAATGCGATTTGTCCTCCGATATTTGGGAAACAGAGCATCTCAGCAGAGCACATCAGGGCTCTCCAAACAGAAGCCTGCTTTTTCCCTCATAAACAAATTATGCAAACTCTCTCTTCTTCCAGAATTAGCAATGTCACCATTAATTATGCAACTGACAACAATGGATTTGGAAATACGGGAAAGCATGTCATGAATGTTTCAACCACTGTGTCCTCAAGACTCCATCATCTTTAAGTACATCAACCATCATTGCCTGGACCTCTTCCCCTCACGAAGAGGCCTCGGAGGTGGACTCAACCCACAGGACTTCGGCTGGTGGGTAGAGGGGTGAGCGCCCAGGAGTGGGAGCCACACACTTACGTGCCTGGGTGCATTTGGCATTATTTATTGTCTGCGTTTCTTTTCTTTTAGTAAAGGGATTAAAAATTGCTGGCAACGTGTCATCATTCCAGCTCCTACTTTCTTTAACAAGCTTCACTTTCCTTTCTTGCTCTGACCTGCTCTCAGCATTCCTTCCTGCTGTTAGATATTACTTGAGATAACAAGATTTCAGGGTAACATTCTTACCTTGTGAATTTCCTACGAGATCATGTGTCCTGAGTCAAAGGCCATCTTTGCCTTGTGATCAGTAGAAACTGGATGAAGGCTTCTTCCCCGTTTCTACTCAGTGAGTCCAATGTGCCTCCCACCCTCCGCCCTGTGCTCTGGTCACTCAGGCTGGAGGTGGACGCTTGGGGCCTGGGGTGCTCACCGCCCTTCTCAGATGAGAGTGGCTGACGCCCAAAGGGCTCAGTCCTTAACAAAGGGGCAAGGCTTCCCCCGCATGGATTGCGGGGATGCACACGTGTACCTATGAAGCACTGAGGTCACCGCAGACACCTCACGGGGGTGATGACCCACGGGTTTCATGTGCCTCAGTGCAAGCCTGGAAGCAGCTTGGAAGAGGAGATATTCCCTCTGGCACGTCTGGTTTAGGATTAGTGTTTATGGGATGACTAACCTCTCTCCCCCTAAGAAGGAAAATCACAGTGATGCACCAGGAGCTCCAGGCCTCCAAAGCGGACCAGCAGGGTTCTCAACGAGTCGCATCACAGGTGTGCAGCAAGCGTCCCAGACAGGCTGGTTTCTTCTACAAAACCTTTCCTGACCGGTCGCCACTGCTTTCACAGAACACCATGAAAAATAACTACAATTCTAGACACAACATGGTAATTCTGGATTAGATCTTGGAACCAAAGGAAAAGGACATTGTGGAAAAACTGGTGAAGTGAGAAGGAACTCTGGAGTTTTGCTAGCAGTAATGCGCCGAGGTCGACTCCTTGCTGCGACAACGTGAAACGGTTGTGTGTACGCTGGGGGAGGGGAACACAGAATTCTGTGTACTCTCTTTGAAACTTCTCTGTACATCTAAAATTATTCCCAAACAAAAAGGTTACTTAAAAAGAACAAAAAACAAAAGGCAACCTGAAAAGCAAGTGAATGAGTTCATGGTTTATTTCAGTAAGTGATCACCAAGTCGAGTGGCATCTTCCCTAAAGATATGGCTGTGTGACAGCTACCAGCTTTGCTAAGCTTTCTTTGAATTTCCTCAATACAATTAATTATAATATAGAGCATCTTTTAAATGAATGAATGCATAAAACCAACTACTCGGATAATTGCCTACTTGAACATAGGAACATAATCACCACCATATATTAACTGAAAATGCAATGTTAAAATGCACGCACAAACAAGGGAAAATCCAACAAGTAAATAGTCAGGAAATGGTGCCCGGGAATTTGCTTAGTGTGTTGATCCAGATTCAAGGAAGTTACAGTGTCAAGGACGTGTTCTTGTGAACTGTTGAGGACAATCCTTCTTAAAAACCCATTTGTAAGAATGACCCAAGGACAGGCAAGGGGTCTCAATGCTCCAGGTCAGCAGATGGGAAGCAGCTGACCAGAGGGGGCCAGGTGTAAACAGGACGTAGCAGGGAAGAGGGGTCCTGATGCAGTGGGGGAGGGCAGCTCCAGAAAGGAAGTTGGAAACAGGTCCATTGCTCTCTCTAGCCAGCCAAAGAGAGCTGGCCTCTGCACTACACAGTGGAGGACCCTGGGAGATGAGGCTCACCTGCTGAAACCCTGCCGACTCTTCCTGACCTGCTGGATATACACAGACAACTGTGAATGAAGATCCCCCAGCCTGAGTTCAGGTAGCAAAGGAGAATTCTGACCGTCCTTCTCAACAAGGAAGGGATGGAAAGACACGCCACCAGTACCGTCTCCCAAAGGCAGAGATGAGGAAATCGGTGAGTGTGCTGGGGGTTGGCTGGAGCCCCAACAGTGACAAAGTGCTACAAGCCTAACACAGTGCTCAGGATGGAGAATCAAAACACGTTTCTGGAAAAGAACACTATAGGAATAAGCAGTAAATTTTAGACAGCATCTACTCTTGCTTACAAAGTTTAAGAAAACAAAGTGGGAACCAGCCCCTCTAGAGCTCCCTTTCAGAGCAGGGCCACACTGAGGCCCCATGTTCAGGACAATAGAGACAGAGGAAAAATAAGGTCAGGGGAAAAGTTAAAGGGCCGGGGAACAGTCAGAAAATCTTAGGCCGCCACGTGTTTGTTTGTTTGTTTTATCTATAAGAAAACAAGAGAAGGATCCCTGTGAAGCTAGAAACGCTGTACTGAACAGGCCTCCTTCTAAAAGTTTAGAAAAATCAGTTTTACATAAGAAATGAGCAACAGAAGAGGATCAAAATCTAACCCTGGGCTTCCCCGGTGGCGCAGTGGTTGAGAGTTCACCTGCCGATGCAGGGGACGCAGGTTCGTGCCCTGGTCCGGGAGGATCCCACGTGCTGCAGAGCGGCTGGGCCCGTGAGCCATGGCCACTGAGCCTGCGCGTCCGGAGCCTGTGCTCCACAACGGGAGAGGCCACAACAGTGAGAGGCCCGCGCATCACACACACACACACACACACACACACACACACACACAAATCTAACCCTATGCCAAGTCATTATATGAAGAAAAAAGAATAAAGAGCAGAATAGTATCCCTGCAGATAACGAAAACATGCAGAAAGATGTGCACAAAAACAGATCAAAATCATAACCTACTGACTTCAAAGCAAGCTGACTGCAACAGATAAACAATATAAACTTTGAGGACAAGATCATTCAAAATTAGAAAAACTCAGAAATGAGTACATAGTACCTAAGATATAATTAGAAATAAGAGGAAAACCTCACTTCAGAAATGAGGAATAGGGTAGAACAAAATAATAAAGAAGAAACACAAGGATGAATAAGCAAAATAGATAACAACTTAAGCAAATGAGAACATCTTAATAATACAAATACATGAAGAAAGAGATCTAAAGAATTCACAAGGACATGACAAATATGGACGATAGGCAAGCAAAACCCAACATGTGGGCAGCAGGGGTGGAAAACCATGGGGGTGGGGGAGGAGTGGTCCAGTTATCAGATGAATGGGTCCAGGGAGAAAACTACAGCACAGTGACCACAGTAACAACACCCTACCCTGCATCTGACAGTTACTAAAAGGGGAGATTTTAAAAGCTCTCCCCTCCACACAGACTGTGCGAGATGGTGGGTGTGTTAACTAACCTATTGTGGTAATCATTACACAACACACACAAGCCTCAAATCATCCCATTGTACACCTTAAACTTACTTAATGTTATATGTGAATTATATCTCAATAGAGCTGGGGAGGGGGAACCAAATGGAAAGAGCAGAACAAATACTAACAACTAACAAGAACAGAAGAAAGACTTCCTAGGGGCTTCCCTGGCGGTCCAGTGGTTAAGACTGGCGCTTCCACTGCAGGGGACGCGAGTTCCATCCCTAGTCGGGGAATTAAGATCCCGCGTGCTGGCGGGGCAGCCAAAAAAAACACATTTCCTGAAATTATTTTTTAAAAGACTGCAGATATCACGTTGAAAGCAGCCCGCTTGGCTGTTGGCTTCCGCAGACCCGGTGCTGAGGGCCACGTGCTGCCCGGGGCTCCCCGCTCGGCCCCTTCCTTCCGGCTGGACCAGGACCGGCCCACCTGCCGTCCCTCCCTCCGCCAGTGCGACCTCGCACGTGTCCGGCAGCGGGACAGTCCCCACGCCGCCCGCCGGCTCCACGAGGACAGCCTGCAGGGCCCCAATTCAGGAGCGGGTCATAGACGCGGCCGTCACCCGAGGTCTGGGCGTCCTGAGGGGACACAGCTGGGAAGGCCCTGCCAGCCTGCAAGCGCCGGGACTGAGGGACCAGGACCCGGAGCTGCCCCGCTGGACCATCGGGACCACCGCACAGCGGAGGAAGGGAGGGGAGAGGAGGCGACGGGCTGCCCCACCTTGCCGCCCGCCCCGCCCCCGAGGGAGCCAGGGAGGCCTCTGCTCTGCGCGGCAGGCGGTGGGGAGGGTCCGCAGGTCCGCCGGCCCCGCTCCTGCTGGGGCTGCTCCGGTCCCCAAAGGCCCCTCCCGCTGTGACGCCGGCCTCGCCGGTCCCCACCCTCCCTTGCGCCCCGGGCTCCCGTCCCTGCTGGAATGAGACCCCCAAGTCGGGAGGCAGGGGGTCCCCTGTTCCAAGGGCAACAGCGCCACCGCTGGGCGGGCACAGAGAACGCACGGGGCGGTGGGGAGGGCGGCGGGGGCGGGGTGGGGGGGGAGTCAGCCGAGGGGGAAGGGACGGGGCGGGCCGCGGGCGGAGCCGGGGACACGCGGCTCGCCTAACCCTAACATCTTAAAGGAAGTCACAGGTGCGCGGAGAAGGGAAGGGTCCAGGGCAGGCCTGGCTCTGGGCGGGGGTGGGGGGGGTGGGGGGGGTGGGGGTGAGCCCCTCTGCTCCCCGCCCCTTATAAATGGTTCCCTTAGAAGGAGACCTCTGGCTCCGGGCACAGCATGCTGGTGAGCCCCTGGCCCTGGGCACACCTCCCCGGGGGCTCTCCCTCCTCAGTGGGGCTGAGGGGCGCCAATGCTGACGCCACACACGCTGCGCTCCGGGCTGCCAAATCAAGAGAAGCCTGTGCCCCCTCCTTGGGGCATCCAAGGAGCCTGAGTCTCCCAGTCGCCATGGCCCGTGGTGCTGATGGGGTGCCTCTCCCTCCACCTGAGCCCTGTCTGCCCAGGACTTCCGAGTTTTAGTACTGAAGTCCCAGAATGCCCCTCACACAGGGACCCCTGGGCACCCCTCCACGACCCTCCCTACACCCCACACCACCAGCACGGTGTTTGGCAAGAACAGAGACCCTTTCTACCCAGAAAGGCTGTCCACCTAAGGAGTGAGGACACGTGTGTGTCATGCTCCAGCAGGTCTGAAGCCGACACACCAGTCCAGGGACCTCAGGACATGGCTGGAGCATCTTCCCTGGAAGAGGCCAGGGCGAGCGTCTCTTGCCAGCGTCCAGTCCCGGCATCCAGTACCCAAGTGCG